TACCCCCCGCTTGAAAAGTGCTGGGTGAAATTAAATGAAACTTTCACAGAACGCAGCTAGGATAAGGCTGCCCGTAAAATATCTAACTGTTTAAACCGTAGTAACTTCTCTGAACTACTTAGATATGACGTCATAATAGAATATGACGTCAAGTCACTGCATACTTGAGCTGGCATGACGGGGAAAGCGTGATAATTTTTACATGGCATATAGATTTGTTTTCGGGATTTGTTGTTTAATTCAAGTGTAAGGATAATTTTCTATGCTCGAGTGTGCTGTTATGATGTTGTACATTGAAATTTAGATATCCTTGTTCCTTTTGGTTGTCGGATATTCATATATTCAAACAATAGCAAATATTATGTGTGAAACGCTCCCCTTACATGTCCGTAGACAGAGTTAGAATTTATGAATCGTGTTTATATTGGACAGGCACAAGTGATAAACAAGGACTAATTGAAGATATTCTATGTGAATATACAAGAGAAGTATGTCCTGTAACTGAATATTGCTGGGGGATTGTGCGTAGTTTATCCATTTTTGTTTAAATCGCGATAAAGAGTGGAAAATCACCCTTCTCTTGTAGGTAAGTTTAATTTTTCGTAAAATATTTTCTAAACGAGTAAACATTACACCTGCCCCCAGCACTTTCTATGTACTAGAGATCACGATGAATTGATCTGTGTAACAAACTTTGCACAATATTTTTATTTTGCACTTGTGCCGAAGCGATTTTTATGCAACAATAAGGAATATTAAAAATCTCCGTCACGTGATGAACACAGTCACGTGACATCACATAAATGCTTTAAAAATATACCTGATTAAACTATTATCTCAAGTTGTCTGCATTTCAAACAAAAATTACATATTAAATTTAAAATCAAGCTCGGAATAATAAGTATATTTGCAAGGCATTTTAAGCATTCGAACAGCCTTATCATTACTGCGAATCTTTATTACATATTGCACCTCCTATTTTACTTTTTGATCCGACACATATTTTGGGTTTCCCGGCCACAGCAAAACATGGGCTTTGCCATTATAACCATATGGGAGGCGGGGGTATCATTTAGTGAGCTCATTGCTCACAGTACCTCTAGTTTTTATCATATGTCCGTATGAAATGCTATCTACGAAAGCCCAATGAGCTCATTTTCGTAGGTAAAAAAAATAAAATTTTCGCGTTATATCGCGAACCTTTCGCGATATAACGCGAAACTTTCGCGAATAAACGAGTAACTTTCGATTTAAAACGCGTAACTTTCGCGTTATAACTCGAAACTTTCGCGATATAACGCGTTACTTTCGCGATAAAACGTGTAACTGTAACTTTCGCGATATAACGCGCAACTTTCGCGATAAAACGCGTAACTTTCGCGATATAACACATAACTTTCGCAATATTACGGGAAACTTTCGCGATATAACGCGAAACTTTCGCAAATAAACGCGTAACTTTCGCGTTATAACGCGAAACTTTCGAGTTATTTCGCGAAATAATATGCATATAGTAATGTTTTTTAGGAACCTTGATCTTGACTGACAGATAAGAACATAAACACAGACGGGAACTCTCAGGAACTTATTTATAAAATATCATTTCCTCAGAAGATGTACTGGAGAAATGATGCGAGAATAGGATAGATTAGTCATCAAAATATTTTTTTTGTTTTAAACCCTTACCATTGAATAGATAAAATGAATTTTACTTTCTTGTACATGTTTTTAAATTGTTAAATTCTTTAGACTTATTATTTTTTAAGGAAAATCTCCACTTGACATTTTTTTTTTTCAAGCTGTTTTTTTTAATCAGTAATATTTACTACAATTGTACCACTAGTAAATTAAGAAATCAATCATTTTGGACAAAAAATTATACACTGTAGAAACATAACTTAAAAGTGAATGAACAATGTATAATTTCATGAGCTTAACGGGTCATATGATGCCATTTAAATAACAATTGTAATTGGATATTGTTAATTACAAATTTATTGAGGAGGAGGGGTCTCTAGATTTTCTCCAATATTTATATATTGGGTTGTAGAGAAGTTCGTGGACTAGCCATAAATAAAAACTATGAAGCTATACAGCAGAGTTTGTACACTTTGAATTGTCAATGTTTTCGTAAGCAATGGAATGACAGAAGTGGTGCAACCTCAAAATAGGATATCGTATTTCCACAGTGAAACCAACGGAGACAAATGAAAATCTGCTATCCAATTTTCACAAATGCGGTGGGACAAAACCTCATTTTGTCAAATTTCTGAGATCTTGATCTCTATAAAATTATTTCAAATTCTCTAGAGAGTGCAAAAAAAAAAAAAAAAAAAAAAAGACGCCAGAAAGGGGTGATTTTCCCCGAAATTAATAATCTTGAAGTTTAACTTTTGGAAAACTCGCATAAACGTTTATAAAATTGTTTGAACAGCGTTGATAAAGACAAATTGTGATGGATTCAATAGCAAGAAAGCTTAAAATTTATCTTGTGATGGTCCAAGATCAAAATAGCCTTTTGTTTATCATTGTAATGAAAATAAACTTAATGACAAAATAAAAAAAAAAAGTAGAGACTAAAGAAAATTGTTGGTAAAATAGCGAAGGTTTCGCGTTATAAAGCGAAGGTTACGCGTTTATTCGCGAAAGTTTCGCGTTATTTCGCGAAAGGTACGCGGTATATCGCGAAAGTTTCGCGTTATAACGCGAAATTTACGCTTTTATTCGCGAAAGTTACGCGTTATATTGTGGAAAATTTATTTTTTTTACCTATACGAAAATGAGCTCATTAGGTTTTCGTAGCTATCACAATATTTAAGGTTGGAAAAAGCAAGATTAAAGTTAGGATTACTTAAACCAACTTTAAAATACATATTTTATACATTAATAATATACGAGTTAGTATTTTAAACTATGGTCGTACATGTACCACTGGACAATGTATTGCAAACATACAAGTCGGATTCTGCATGATAAATCCAATATTAGCGAAGAAAATGGAAGGATAGTTTGGTCTTTACATACTTCCCCTACATATATATCTGTATCCATTTCCCTCTTTTCACTAAATGCATCGATCTGCAAATTAAACATTTTTTTTTCAAAGCATGATAGGTCTATCTGACATACATTATACATGTAAGAGCTGTAACCAGGAGGAGGCCAATAGGGTTTCGAAAATTCAGTCCTGATTTCTCCCATGAAGTATCGAACCATTGAGCAACGCTTGCCTGTTTCATTTATACAGTCAAGCAAATGTAATTGCAAAGTAATTTTGTGAATTCATCCAAGCATTTTATAATGAATCAAAATGTCTGTCTTAAAAATGAATATAGTTAGCGAATCTCGCCAGCGATATTTTTCTTCATAATATTGGGCAGAGCCAACTAAGCAAATTAAATTAAATAGAGAATAATACATACCCTTTTCCATATCACATCCTGTATTAGCCCGAGACACCAACATCAGCCAGAGGGCCGAAGGCCGAATTCCCGCGGGCTGATATTGGTCGAGGGCTGATACGGGATGTGATGTGGAAAAGGGTGTGTTTTATTATATTTATTACATACTTAGTAATAAAAAAAAATAAAACAGAGCACATGAAGTTGAGAAGAAAATGTAAATAATCATGCACGGACTTCTTAAAATGTACAAAGTCTATTGTCTCATACAGTTTCGGTTTGTTTCTACATGTACTTCTATTTCAAATGTCCTCAATCCGTAATTTCAAAATAATCTGTCATTTATCAGTTAGATTATCATTACATTCAAAAAGTTAAAACTAAGAGAATTATGTTACCTCCAAAATATGTTTATGATCACAAGTACTGTTTTTTGACGTTTAATTTACTAGGGGTGTGATATTGATCCATATCAGCCCTGCACGGCTGATACGGCTATTGTGACGTCAGCCATATCGCATATGCAAAAATCCTGTATTTATTACTAAGTATGTAATAAAGTAAAATATATACACTACAACTGCTTATTAATGATCACATTGAAAAACGCATCCATTACAAAATTCTTATTTATACTTACAAAGCAATAAACAATATAGCACCAGAATACAGAGCTCATCACCATATATATATATATATATATATATATCAACATGGTCGTTCCCTTAGATCAGCAAACAAGCTGTCACTGCAAAGACCGCACTGTCGAACATCAACTTATGGGAATAGACGTTTTGACGTGGCCGCTGCATCCCTCTGGAACTCTTTACCTCCAAATCTGCTTTTATGCCCATCTTTGAACACTTTTAAAAAAACATCTTAAAACTCATCTTTTTAAGTGTCAAATATAGACTGTTTTTATTTATTTATGTTTCAAGATCTCTGACTTAATTGATTATTTTTAATTTTCTGATATAAATCATGAACAGTCAAAAACCATTGTTGTCGGTAATTAATTTTCTACCTAAAATTGAAAATGATTACACTGCTAATGCCAACATGGAATCAACTATCGCGGTATCTATAGATTTCCCAGAGATGTTTCTTGATATCCTAGCTATTGTATAGAAAACCAGGGCCAATTGCAAAAATAGATACAATATGTATATCTGTAATCAGGCAAATCAAACACTTTGTCTAGTTCTGTGGACACAAATACGTCCCGTAGAAAATATATATGCATTAATTTTACCCCTTCTTCCCTTTCCCATCAACAATTGATTCATGCATGTGAACTTGCAACAATGAATTACTTTTTTCTACCTAACACTTGCAGATATCGAGCTGCCCTTTGGTATGTTAGTTATTGATAAGTTATAGATCTAGTTTGCTTGGGTCCCTTCTTTCATTTTCAAAATTACGGATTTTTTAATTAAGGCAACCAGATTACAGATTTAGAGATACGAGTTCTGTTTATGCAATTTTCTCATGCTTCATTGCTTTCAATTCTTTACCTTCAGTGCCCGTCATTGATAGCTTTTTAAAAATGGTATTGATTATTACCTTAAAATTGACTTCGTTGTCTTTATTTTTGGCTAGATTTATATTTGGAAAATAGGGGATTTCCATTTTGATATCGGAAAATACGGATGAAATAATGTCAGGATTGTCTCAAGCAATTTCAACATTTTCTAGCTGCAACAAGGCTGGTTCAGTACAATATTTTACTCAGTATCTGACACAATATCCAAATGATTATACAGCTCTGACCTGGCGTGGCCGTGCTTACAATATAATAGGAGAAGTAGACAAAGCGAAAGCAGATTTCGGAAAGGCTGTAAGAGTAACTTCACCACCAAGAAAATACGTAGCTGAAGCACAGTTGGAGAGGATATCTGGCAACAAAACTCGTGCTGAATATCTTCTCAAAGAAACTATTAAAGAATTTCCCAACTGCGCAGAAGCCTTTTTTCAGCTTGGATTGGACTTGTACAATCAAAGTAGAACTGATAACGCACGTCCTCATTTTGAGAAAGCCATAAATGTTGGAAAATCAAATGGGGAACGAGGAGAGCCATGGTACCCGTGGTGCAATTATTGCCTCGGCGATATCTACTACAAAAATGATGATATTTCGATGGCTTCGAATTGCTTTCATGAGGCAATACGTTACTGCGATACATTAACAGTGGCATATCTTGGATCAAGCAAATGCGACATAGTTAATGGAAATGACTCAAGGGCTCAAGAAAGTTTCCTTCGGGCAAAAGACCTAAACCCATCAATCTGCCCTTGGAATGATTTTGGCGAATATCGGAACGAGACTTTGCAGGGCGGTGGGGATGGAAGTGGAAACGATGATGGTAAGTATGTTCAGAATGCCATCTGTGTCTTCAAATGTTTAACAAAAACCGCTTATCTTCACGAGGAAAATGTTAAAAAAAAAATAAATTTGAGTATTTATTAACTTCATGAAACTCTTTCAAAAAAAAAAAAAAAAAAAAAAAAAAAAAAAAAAAAGAAAGAAAAAAAGAAAAAAACTTTTAGTCACTTTAGTTACTGTTCATTTAAACCATGTACAGATTTTGGATCCCTCAAATATGATTTTTACGTTAACTTGAATGCAAATATGCATGTTAATCTGTGTTGCATAAAATTATTTTAAACTGTATATGTATTAGAATTGCTAAAAAGAAAATGTCTAATGCCTGTCAGTATACTTTGTCTGAAAGAAATGTATGACTTTGTGTTCTCATACATGTAGATGATGATGACCCCGACGGAAGTAAAATGTTGAAAAAAATCAAAAAGGAAGCAATGGAAGTAAAGAAGTATAAGGGGAGAATTTACTATCGATCAAAATGTGGGAGGTACTGGTACACCAAAGACACCGCCAGTCATGGAGGGGCTTTCTTTAAGAAGTACGAGGATAAGCGGAGTACTTTGGAGTTCGTGGGCTCGGTGGATAAAAACCTCAGAGATATGCCAGGTAAACACGAATCTGCTCAAGCTCCGACGATTCGTAAGAGTGACATGGACACCGTTCATAGATAAACAAATAAAACTGCTCCGTAAATTAATTTTGAAGTCATGCAACTAATGATTGTCTTATTTAAAGAACAGTAATAAAGAATATTTTGTAGAATTTCTTAAATATATTTAATAGACTACCGGGTATATACATTTAGTATAGAATAATTACAGGGGTATGCATTTTTATTGGCCATTTACTGAAATAAAAAAAAAGGTTAGTGACTATATAAATTCTTTTGTTTTAGATGTATAAAATGTGTGGCTTAATAAAGTTTTGTAAATTCAGCTTACATGAAACCATTTATTAAAGTTCTATGAATTGCTCTTGCTCATTTACGGCCCAATGTATTAAGTCCACAAACGAAGGAGGTAAAAGACTGAGCACACGTGTCCCGGAACTTTTTTCCGGTAGAATGAATGTTTATTTCAATATAGAAGGTTGTACTTTTAAATGTTTTGTTCTGAAGCTACAT